ACCATGATTATTAGGATTCTTTATGCAACTCTCTTTCTTCCGAACATGTTTCGTGTCTTACACCATTTGGAAGATCAATTCAGTGCCTTACGGGAATTCCTACAATTTGGTCCTTGGTTTGATGAACTAGGGGGCAGGATGTCAGCTCAGGTAGATGAAGTTGCTGCAAATGACAGTAGCAGCTGAAAAATTGTCGGAAGGAAGTGGGCTAAGGCCTCCCTCGGTCTCTAGAGAAGGCCTTTTCTTAACCTTTCTCAAGGGGCACAAACAGTGCCTACTAAGGAACTCATGTTCTCAAGTATGGCTTTGCCTAAAGAATTGAAAAGATCTTGCCAATCTGACAGTAATTTAAGGTGCTTATCTTTTGCCGAGCACCTGTGGGTTTCCAAGTAATTTACCCATATTAACTCATTAGCACTCCCAACCCTACACCAGCCTTCATTCTTGCTTTTGGTATATGAGGAGGAGATACTATCTGAGCTTCGAATTCAGAGAAAGCCCCTGGGTTGGGAGTGACAGTCCCTTGGCCCACATCTGGTGGAATTCTTCCCTGCCACCAGTGGCAAGCCCACTCCTCTCTTGTCCCCCACCAAAGGACTCCAGGGGTGCTATCTCAGTGCCTTGCCCAGCATCACTGGGTGTCAGAACACAAATACCTCCTTAAGGACTTCTTTCTGAGGCCCACTCCTTTTACAGTGTAAGAAACTGAAGCGTTCAATCAACCCAGAAGTGAAATGCCCAAAGCAGCACAACTAGTTAAGGACACAGTGAGTAACTTAACAGGCAAAAACTAGAAACTTTCCTCCACCTTCACCCACATACACCCTAACAACTAAACAACTAAACATTCTTGTGTCCCTCTAGGCATCTCAATAGCACTTAGTTCTAAGGGATACAGGGTACAGGGAAGACATTATGTACGTCTATCTGATCACACAGCTCAGAGTTTCCATTGCCACCTCTGAACAGTTGTCTTATCCAAGACAATGCCATGGCTCTTCCTTTCCTAAACCTAAAATGGGTCATTTTTAAGGGAAATGAAAATATAATTCCATCATTCTAGATAAAATGAGTTAAGGAAAAAAGAGCTCTCATTTTCTCTCATCCAACAGCTAAATTAACATACACCCCCTAGGCACAGGGCTTTAGGAAACTGAAAGTTAGTTAGTAAGCAATTACAACGTGAAATGAAAGTATACAATGTGGTCCAGAAGCCTGGGCAGTTCTACTCTCAGAATTCCCTACCCTAAGGTAGAACATAATGCCTTTGCTAGAAGCACAGCTGAGTCAGGTCCATTTTTCCCCAGAATAGGCACATAATAAATATTTGTGGTTTGATTAGGTGGGCAAACATTCTTTCCACTTTCCATCTTATTCTTTTTAATTTTTTATTCTTAAATGTTTAGCAAAGGTGCAGGTGGTTAGTGTTCAATACAGCTTGAAGGAATGTTGGTGATAGTGGCTGTCATCTGTATTTCCCAAACTGATTTCTAAGTAAAAGTGATTCTGGGTATCGAGAAGAAAGGTTTTGTGTTTAAATAAGCTGGGGGACCATTAGTTAACTTCCTAATCTGGTTCCCCAAGATTCTCAAGGCACATTAAATAGGCTGAGAAGATTTTGGGGGCAAATACACAATTCTAACTTTGTTAAAATAATTTCTTTCCAAGTTGATTTGATTATGGAACAGTTCCCTCTCCCATCTTTTTTGTCATATCTGTTAAAGTTCCACAAATTTATGGTCTTTGGGAAAATACCTTGGGAACTACTATTTGAACCCAATTTCTAAATTTTACTGGCAAAAAGGCAGAGGTTCTAAGAGGGGTTGAACTTCTTATAGGTAGTTGATAGGGGAGCTAGGACTAGAGCCCTATTTCTTGACTGCCTGGTTCAAACTGGTCAACCATACCCAACTAGGGGGCATTTCTTAAGGTGGGTTCTGGGATGCCAGGTATTATATGTAGTCCTTAAGATAATGGGTAAAAAGGATGAGAACTTTTACTCCTTAATGGGTTCTTTTGGGATACTTTGCTAAAAGATAGAGATTCTTTTAGGTGTTTTTAAAAATGAGTAATTGTGTCCCATTCTTTTGTGACTCATAGTTCTTGAGGTGCCTTTCATTGCAGCCTGGATATACCACTTATTTAATAAATGTTAGAGAACCTAGTGGGATCAGAGGAGGTTGGTGGCAGGGAGGAAGAAGGAAAGGGTCGGGGCCTGAAAAGGAGTGAGAAAAGGGAAAATGTGAATAAAGAGAGGGGTAGATGAAAAATAGGAGCCAGCAGCCACTGATCAGTGGACAATAGTGGAGCCCTGGCAGAGAAAGGAAAGGAGACAGCTGTAGGTGACTGAAAAACAAAACAAAACTGAGTGAACAGGAAGCTTTGCTTTTAAAAAGTAAAAGTGACTCATGAGGCTAATTTGGATGCTGGCCATGCCAGGAGGGCCCTGCCAGGAGATTGGGTTGAGCACCAACTGCTGAGAAACCTAGTGAACTCGGATCAAGGTGTATTTATTGAATGAATACAATGGATGTGCAAGGTGTCTTCTTAAGCACCACAATCATACATGAGTAAGACACAGGTCTGACCCTCAGGAAAGTGACAGTCGAACAGGAGAAAAGCTAGGATAGGGACTTTGCTAAGACAAGGAAAGGTAGAATGTGATCAGTGCCCCTAGAGGTACAAGAAGCCAACACTGCGAGGAATCAGGTGTCAGGAAGATCATATCAAGTCTTGAGGCTCTAAAAGTTCTATGTGGGAGGGCCATGAGGCATAGATAGGATTGCACCAGGCAATAGTGGGAGATAAGAGGAGAGGCATTTCAAGGCAATATGATAAGGAATCTTCAGGCGGTGGGAAAGCAGATGGATCAGTGAGTGTTTGCAGCCAAGTGGGTTGCAGCCAAGGGGACATATGGACTGGGAGGGGTGCAGAGAGAAAGTTTTGAAGTCACACTGGAGGACTTTGAATGCCTGGCTCAGGTACTGATGTTCCAGGTAGTCAATGGGTAGCTAGTGAAGTGTGTGTGTGTGTGTGTGTGTGTGTGTGTGTGTGTGTGTGTTTGTAGAGGAATAATAACATTGGAGATGATTCTCATGCCGGGTGACTGCGCACAAGGGGTAAGTTAGGGAAGGGGCTCACCTAGTGAGGGAGGATGCACTTTGGTTTTGAAGACACCAAGGATCAATATCAATCTGAAAATCCTGCCAGGGATAGTGCCTGAGTCCTCTGCCCACAGAGACCCAGAAGGTTCTGGTCATTACCTCAGGGGTTAGGGAACAAGAAAGAATGAGAGGAAAGGAACCAGGAGGAAAAGACACAAACAACAGCCACAAGAGGCGGAGATGTCTCTGGAAACCTGGGTCTGTGCCTGACCAGGAATCCCATGGGCAACCTCCCCGAGCCAGGTACAGTGCTCCCCACAGGACCACACTGACAGGGCTCAAAGAGTGTTTGAGTCTGTTTCCTCATTAATGGGAGTGTTTTACATCTCAACGGTTGAGAGCATTCACTGAGAAAACTCCTTAGCAAAGGGCTTTGCACACCTAGGAGTCCAGGGGGCAGCTGGAGAAGGACCTGGAAAGATTAAGGGTATCCCCTGAGGCATGTCGGGAAATGAGGTCAGAGACCCTCAGGAAGCCCAAAGCCTTTGCTTTAGCCGAATTTGCTGTGAGGGGAATGATGAGCGGGTCAAGGCAGCCTAGCCTAGTCCCCACTCCAAGGCACTGCCCTGTCACCCGGCTACCACCTCGCTGCACC